GGTCAGTCACACTTTCGAGGCAAGAAGTGACACGATCAAAGTTCCATCCAAGGAATATTCCCTCACCATGGCACCTGAGAGGGTCTGGAGGGGTGAAGGGAGAGACGGGTGCTCTGCCCACCTATGTTCTCAGATCTACACGTCTGGGGCTGCTGCTGCCACCCATAGCAAATCCTCCTCTCTCTGCCCACCCAGCTCTGGGGCTGTGCCATCTGGCCACAGTGACTCTAGCACCAGAGGTATGGGGTCTTAGAAGACCCCTTCCCCAAATCCACCCCCTGGGTTCCACTTTATATAGCAAGTCTCTGTCCTCAGACTTTTGGTTAATTCCTATGCTAGTTACCAGCTCCATTCCCTTGTTCCTTAAAAACAGATGGGGTTCTGTTTGAGTCTGTCTGTTCCCCAAGATAAAGCACTACCTGCCCTACCCACATACTCCTACCTGAGTAAAGAACACCCCGGTTACTGAGGCCTGCCTGAATTTCCCAGTATCACTCACCTGTATGCCCTGTGATTCTACCCTACCTGTTGGAACATGCGTCATTTTGTTGTGAAGTACCCATTACTCTATTTGGCTGGCTTGAGATTTGTGAAGATGTTACCACGGAGTTCATGACAACCTGTGCCATCCTGACCCTCCTCTGTCCACCTCACCAGCTAGGTCAAGTTCTCCTCATAGGCAGGTTTATTGCCAGAACCCAGCCTCGCCCTGCCTTCTCTAGCACTCTGGACTTTCTACAGCCAGCTGCAAATACCTAAGTATAGCAAAAAGGCTACACTGCAGTAGTTGAGACATGGTGATAAGGACTAGACAAAGGGGATTAAGAAGATAGGCTAATGTTAAAGACCCTGCACAAGGAAAAAATAAATCAAATGTTTTAAGAACTGGTTGAATGTTGAAGATGGTGAGAGACCCCATGAGTCAAAGTCTGGATGCCAGAGAAAGCCATGTCTACACTAGCAAGGATAGCAGGGGTTGGCAGAGGATCTGTTTTGGTGGAAAGCATTTCTACATAGTACTTTTCCACTCCCTCTTCCTTCACTCCTGGTGTCCATTCATAGCATTTCTCAGTACCTTGCCTGGCTAGGATGAAAATTCCATGCGGACAGGAACCTTGCTTGCGTATCTGCTGCAGAACACTGGGCTTGCAGAACAGTGCCTGGCAGGTAGCACATTTTCTATGTGGATATACGTAGACTGTATGAATGGATTTTGAGACAACACACGGCTAGGTAGTGCTGCCCATCAGGTGCCTGGGTAGATGTATCAGAGCGTGGGCCAGTCTGAGAGATGTGGGGATTGAGCAGAAGGGCACACTCAGAGAGAAGGGCTGAGGCATGTAGCAAACTTCCCTCAGGGAGTCAGCGGTGATGAGAAGGGGAAGGGAGAAGGCAAGAGAGAGAAAGAAAAGTCAAAGACAACCAAGATAATGACAGCTTTTGTAAACCTAGAACGAGGTATTTTGTAAATCAAGAAAGAACGATCAGTAGAGACTGGGATGGATGAAAATGAGAGAATGACACTAAATTTAACAATAATGAGGCTTGGAGCAGCCCCTCGGTGAGTGTGGGGTGTGGGGACAGACCGCAGTGGGAAAAGCAATGACAGTGACAGGAGAACGTGGAAGCAGCAGCCATGGGGTGGATTTTCAATAAGTTTGGTCTTGATGGTAACGAACTATGCAGAAGTGAGAGGAATAACTGTGTTTAGGTGGGGTGTTTGTTTATACTCCTAGCTTTGGGGAGATACGAGCATATATAAAGATCCAAAGAAAGAAACCTCACCCCCCAAAACACAAATCAAATCAAATCAAAACAGGAAGAAGTGATTATGTCAGGGGAGAAGGTTATTAAGTGACATTTTTAGTTCTGGATATAAGGAAGGGATAGAATTAGAGATTAGATGGACTGAGGAAGAGGAGAGGCAAAGCAATGAAGACAGGTACCTGGGGAAAGTAGATGGCAATGAGGGACATCCTCCTGCCCTAGAACCTTAACCGCCAGACCCTGAATAGCCTGAACTAGAGTCAAAGATACCAGTAATTTTCTGCTTTAAAACGAGGCCAGAGAACTAGAAGTCGGGCACAAGCCACTCTGTCTTACAGGACAAGATGCCCTACAGGCTGATATGGAACATTCAGAAATATAGTTGACTCAAGAACCACCCAAACAGGCCAAGGATGAGACCCTTCTTACCTTCCACCTTAACAGGAAACACAGTATTTCAATGGCATCAATAAATTAGTGTTGTGTCCTATCTACTACCAATTAAAAATTCCTACAACAAAAATCCACACTAGGAAAAGTGGTATTACTCACTGCATAGTGGAACACAGTTAAGATTCACGTCCACGTGCGCATCGAGACAGGAGTTTAAGAGAAGGACAAACATAAAAGAGTCACGTTCTCAGAAGAAATGCACCTTCTTTCCAACCCCAAGATATTGTGGGTCTAGCCTAAGGTGTCCTTCATTAATTGCCAGACTGCATATGGCCTTGATTATATCCAAACAGCTCGATTTCAGTTTGAGATAATTTTTTAAAGAAGAAAATACCTTTCTCTTGGTTATTTCCAAATCCCATCAGCTTTCTTCTAGACAGGACGTCTTTCTTCAATGTGAAGAAAACTAATATGTGATACACCATTTTATGCCTTTGTTTTAAGCTTTACTTATATATTCCACATGTCTTGGCCAAAAAAAAATATGTCTTTAAATAAATACACACAATAAAGTGACAGTGAAATACTTTATAACAGGACATTGCATGACATCTTATGAAGAACAAATAAAACATTAGGCATGTGGATTTAAAACAAATGATTACATGTAAATGTAGCACAGAAATTCACAAAAGATGGTTAATACATGTACTTGGCTTGTTCTTATTCTATTATGTAGCAATTGTGATGGAAAAAAAAATAGGCCAAGGAGACATTAAATAACTTTTCAGGTTTTTGGTGTAGTTTGGTCATCCTTAGGAACCAGCGATGTTAAGTAGTCACAAATAACTTCTTAGAGCTACACTTACATAAAATCCTGTGTGAATTAGAAAAGGAAACAGAATACAAAGAAGGATAGGCCATCCTCGATCTGAATAAACACAGGATAACATAAAATAACACTTAAATGCTGTTTAAAAAGACTATTCTTAAATATTCAGAGTTGGTGGAAATGTGTTACAGCCTTCCTACTGTTAAAATATTTAAAACAAGGTGACAACGAAAGAGAACGGGGAAGTTCTTTGTAGATGTCTTCTCTCCTTTAAGGAGACAAAAGTTAATAGCTCAGATTTAGGTAAAGGGCAAGAGAGACAAGTGAAGAGACTTTCTATCCTCTCTTCTCATTATCTTCTTAATGCTACTGTCTGGAGCCCTACTCCCAGCTCGGGTAGTCATGGTAACTCGAGGAACCAGATGCTCCCAATGCTTAGGGAAACACAAGAGAGAGGCACTTAAGAAGGCCTGTGTGGTTTTATCTACAGCCGAAGAACAAAGGACAACAAGATGCCCAGCCAAGGATTGGAAGGATCAAGCGTCTGCTTGAAGACCAACAACAAAATCTGGAACTGAAGCACCTTAAAATTCAGCTCATTCAACTCCCTCATTTTGTAGACAAGGAAATCAAAGCTCAGAGGCTGATCTGACTTGCACAAGGTCACTCAGCACCTTGGTGGCAAGAACACCACTCAGCACAACACTCAACACTCTGTCCCCCACTACCCACTGCCTCCTAACTCAGGAAGCTAATTAGGCAATGAAGAGCATCCATCCCATAAGCCAAGTCTCTCTTCTTTTTCTATCTTTTTATTTTGGAAAATTTCTAATATTTACAAGTAGGAGATGAGAATAATAAACCTCATGTACCCATTGCCCAGCTTAAACAATTATCAGCTCACTGCCAATCTTCTTTCATCTACACTCTTACCTATCTTACCACTCCTCCATGATTACTTTGAAATAAAGCCCGGATAGCTTATCATTGTTTCTTGTTAAATCTGAGATGCTCAAAGAAATAATATAGCTGCAAATGCATCAGAGGCAATTTTCCCTATTCCATACCTTTACATTGTTTTTAGTATTTTCTATTTCATTTCATAGTTCTAGAAAGAAAGATCAGCTCTATCTTAGCACAGACCAATACAATATGCTCGGCGACCCAGTATACACGCTGACAATATACACTGGTACAATGAGGGATTTTGATGAGGGATTGTTTTGAACAGTAATCATGGAGAATGTTGAACTTACTAAAAAGAGAAATGTTTTTCTATCTTAAATAAAACACCACTGACACTGGCACTAGTTTAAATTGGGCTTAATCCTAGCCTGAGATTTAAAGCCAACTTCCTCTGTGAGTCCATATGAAAGGCACTCCACAATGTACTTCTTAAGGTTTAACAAAGCTACAACTTAAATTAACAATCAAAAATTTTTACACCAATAGGGTTACGGATCTCCTAAGACACAGACCATTTATTTGTCCTGAGGATATGATGGAAATTTAAAATTAAACAAACACAGCAACACCTTTCTTTCATATAGCCATTTCAATCTTATTCATAGAAAAAATACATCAAAAATATATTTTTTAAAAAGTTTTAGTTAATAAATAAGACTGTGCTACTAGCGCTAGATAGATATACACATGACGGTATGCATATGTCAAAGTGAATGCTTATGGCCACAGTGTTGATGGGTAACATTTCCTCTTCTAATTTTTCAATATTTCACCTGCCCCTCCTCACACATCAGTTTTCTATATAAATTTAAAGCTAAGAATATATTAGAAAGCCAAAGTCAGCACAAAAAAAAGGCAACTCAGAACTCTTGAGTTGTTTCATCCTTAATAATGAATAAAATTATTTCATTCCTTAAATGAAATAATTTCATTTCAAACACACAACAATTTTTTTTAAAAAAGAAAAAAAAAAAAAAAGAAACCTTGCAAAACATAATTTTCTACCTTAGGATATCTTCTAAGAAACATATGGCACTCATACCTGCTGAGGTTTCTCTAAATTTGTCGCTTGTCTTCTTTTTCCTCCATTTCCAAGGTTTAAAGATTTTCCCAATGGTGGACAGTTTGCCCTTTCTCTTGAAGGGAGGTGTTTGGGAACCTGCCGTGGGGCCATCTGAGTTTGCGACAGAAGCTTTGTCCAGTCCGTCAACTGTATAGAGAAAAATAAAGTCAGAGAAAGGTTATAATAAAATTTGGAAACAACATCATCTATTTTTTGCTGGACTGTTAACAGTAAGCATGTCCACTTCTCAGGAATCACATATAAAGTTTATTTTGTCCCATTTCGCAACTGGTAGGACTCCCCTGGTATCCATCAGTAAATCAATCAATCAATCAGACATTACAGTTCCCTTAGGAAATCATTTTGGGGAAAGAGAAAAGAAGCAAAACGCTTACATAATAGGTGGGGCCAGACACAAAAGGGTCTGTGAAACAGTGCTGAATCCATCTGCAACAAGCACATCAATATTTCGTGAAGAAATTGAGTATTCTAAGTATTCCTGAAATAGGATGTTCCTCCAGAGGCTAGTTTGGCATTCTCAGTAATGAATATTACAGTTACGATGTAGTTAAAATCATGGTTTCTCCTTCGCAAAATACAATTTGGTGTCAAGAAGCTAAATTCTATTTTTACAATGCTAAAGCTATCTTTTGACTCTATTACAAAGTTTTCAGCTTCAAATAAATGGATAGCTATCACTAACAACAAGAAATATGTGGAAAATGTTGCGTATTCTGTGTGTTAAAAACATAGCTTTGTACACCTTTATTGTTTTATTAACCAGAAGAAAGGTACAAAATCTTCAGTTGTTTTGCACTACGTTCCAAACAGAGGGGAGATAGCAATGACTTATATTACCCCAACTTTTGAATAGCAAAGAACTGGAAGCAGGCCAGAGTGAATAAAGTATGGTATTATTCACTCAATGAAACAGCTCGTAGCAATAATAATAATAAAAAAGAACCATTGATACACACAACAACATGGATGCAGCTCAAAAATATTGTGCTGAAAGGTCATACAGAAAAGATTACATACTGTGTGGTTCTATTTATAGGAAGTTCTAAAATAGGCAAAATGAATTTATGGCAAGAAGAGGAAAAAGAGGAAGAAGAGGATAGAGGAGAAGGAGAAAGAGGAGGAAGAAGAAAAAATCAAAACAGTAGTTTCTTCTTGGAAGGAAAGGGAGGTAGGAATTAAATGAGAAGAAGCTTGAGGGAAATTCTGGGGGTGATGAAAATTATCTCTTTAATGGTGGGATTATATAAAACTTATCAAATGGTAGTTGTGATTTTGTGCATTTCACTTTATATAAAATAAACAAATAGTGAAGTCTAATTAATGATAGGCATGCTGAAATGTTTAGGGGCAAAATGTACTGATGTCCATCAAAAATTACAAATGGACAGATAGATGGACTGGACAGATGGATAAATATGCAATAAAGTAAAATCGGTAAGTGTTGAATCCAAGTGATAGTTATAAGGGGGAGGTGAATATAATTCTTTCATCTTCTCTGTATTTTTTAAACTTTCATCATATAATATTGGGAGAAAAAAGAACAAATAAAACCAAAACTAGAACAGCAAGGACTTCTGCTTCTGGGAAGACGGTGTAGACTTATTTTTTCCTATCCTTTTTGCTAAATTCAACTTAAAAAACAAGAAAACCCTGGATATTATATATAAAATAAATATAAATAGACTTTGTAAGGTGAGGGAAAGTAAGACCAGTCTGGGACTTCAGAACCTAAGAAACAACATGGTGGTGACATCCTTGGGTTTTCTTTTTGCCTCAAATATTCCAGACTTGCAGCAGAAGAAGTCAGAACCCTGGGAACACCAACAAGCATGGAAGTCAGCAACCCAGAAATGCCCACAGGCAGAGAGCAAAAAAGCCTCAGCAAAAGTCTGCTCTCTCTAGCCACAGGACCAGGAAAGGGGCAGATCAGCAAGACAGAAAACTTTTAGACAATAACTGCTCTACTCCAGCCAAACACCACAGAAGAAACTGTGACCACCTACACCAGCAAAGGCTGAGTGGAGATGCTAGACTTCTACCCTCATGAGGCTTGAACAAGTACCCCTAACACCCCTGCTAGATTGGTTTCAGAGAAGACTAAGTAGAGAGCCAGGATCTTTATGCCCTGGCAGCTGACAATGAAGCATCTTCCATGTTACCGGTGGAGACCATGTAGGAAGTCTGGGCATCCACCCCTACTCAGCAATAACCAGGTGTCTCTCCCTGCCCCCAATACAGAGACGGTGTCAAGCCACTACCCACCAGAACAAGGCCACTTAATGTCAGGGAGACCATGTAGGGAGCTGGAAATTCCACCCATACTCAGCAGTGACAAGGACACCCAGACATACACACAGTGTGTTAATAGAGGACAAGTGAAGAACCAGGTTTCCTATCTCCATGTGGGAGTGACAAGGTGGCACCACTGCTTCCCCTGCTACAAAGGTATCAAACAAAGTCAATTAAAACAAAATGTTTCAAAAAGATCTAGAGCCACATAAAATAATAGAAAAATGTCCAAGTTTCTTAACACTGGGGCTTTTATCACAAAAAAAAAAAAAAAAGAAAAATGTCCAAGTTTCAATCAAAAATCACTTGACACACCAAGAACCAGGAAAATCTCAAAATGAATTTTAAAAATAGATAACCAACAGATGCCAACTCCTAAATCTTCATGAGTTCTCCTTCCAAACAAGTACAGATAAATCCCATTCCTCCCACTAGTGAAGTCTACTCTAATTCCAGGGGCTATCTGAGCAGAGATGCACAGAGGCTGTGCACTGCTAGGCTAAATTGGAGATACAAGTCCTGCATTGACTGATACTTCTCTAAGTGGTTCCTTTGAGCTATAGCACATTTAGAGGTACAGGGGATAGGCTGATTTTGAAGCTAAGCCAGAGTAAAGAAGTAAAATCATTACTTCCCTTCTATTGCTGTCCAACTGCCTTCCCTGAACTAAGGGGCAAACCCACGGAGGAATTGAGTGCATGGTTTTTTCTTCTTCACGGAGACTTTATGCTGAACTTTCAAGGAAGGGCTTGCTTTTGAACAATTTAAATGTTGCAAAATATAAAAGGCTGACTATTACAAACATAGGAACTAAAGTTTCCATCTCAATTCATCTCTCTGGCTACAGACACACAACTAGTTCTCATTTTTTTACAATGGAGTGGGATCTTTATCTCCTAACCCACATATCTAGTTCCCCGACACTCTATTTAAAAAAACCCTGCTTTCCATCTGAACCAATGATGCACAGTCTATTTTTTCCTATCATAAACCACACTTGCAATTGGAAACCATATGTTGGCACAGTTGGCCAAACTGCCATTGTACTTCTCTTAAATCATGAATGTGAAGAGAACTGTCACCCACTTTTGAGTCATATGAGCAGAATACTCTCTTTCCTCCAGACAACCAGGATACCAACAGTGCCATTGATATGTCTATAATTTTTCTTTGGGACCAATTTGCCATTAGAAGCCACTTAAAATTTTCTATAAATTCTTTCAAAGTCCAGTATATTTTGCATTTACAAGCGGATAAGAACAAATTGGTAGATAAATTCCACGTGAAAGTTGAAATTTTCTGATTGTTTTCAATGTTAATTTTTACCTACTGTCATGTTATCAAGAGTAACCCAGACCAGGCGCGGTGGCTCACGCCTGTAATCCTAGCACTCTGCGAGGCCGAGGCGGGCAGATTGCTCGAGGTCAGGAGTTTGAAACCAGCCTGAGCAAGAGCGAGACCCTGTCTCTACTCTAAATAGAAAGAAATTAATTGGCCAACTTCTGTATATAGAAAAAATTAGCCAGGCATGGTGGCACATGCCTGTAGTCCCAGCTACTCGGGAGGCTGAGGCAGGAGGATCGCTTGAGCCCAGGAGTTTGAGGTTGCTGTGAGCTAGGCTGACACCACGGCACTCTCTCTAGCCTGGGCAACAAAGTGAGACTCTGTCTCAAAAAAAAAAAAAAAAAAAAAGAGTAACCCGTCATCCATCAGAACTTTCCTTTTCATACTTGAGATCTACATTTTAAAATACAGCGTATATTCAGTTTGAGACCAGCCTGGGCAACACAGTGAGATTCCATCTCTTACAAAATAACATTAGCCAGGCATGGTGGCATGTGCTTGCAGTCCTAGCTACTCAGGAGGCTGAGAGAGGAGGATCACCTGAACCCAGTAGTTTGAAATTACAGTGAGCTATGATCGTGCCACTGCACGCCAGCCTGTACAAGACAGTGACACCCTGTCTAAAATAAAATAAAGCATATCTTGAGAAACAGTCATTAACCATTTGAATATAAACATTTTAAATGACACAGCTCAGTCTATCTTCCCAATGAAACAAACCCACACCTAAGAGAACTTCCCCACTTCCCCATACCACCATCTGGTAAAAATTCAGAGAATACATGAAGGTTTTATTTTTTCATTTAAACAGAAATTTATTAGTTAGGCAATACCTGTGCAAATGTGACTAGATAGTTATCATATAAAATAATTATAGGTTTGAACAGTCTTCCCTTTTGAGATCTGAGAACTGAATGACAGGCATTCTTAGAAAATTTCAATCTACTTAATATGAGAGTTTGTAGTATTTTTATAATATTTAATAGTTATATGACATTTTAGATATCCATTTTTTTCCCACACAGAATCATTTCAGTCACTGAGAAAGTAAGACAGATGTGGCATAGTATTCCACTTGTAACTGAAAGATCGTTTAGAAAAGAATCGTAGTAAAAGAACTTCTGGTTTTGATTCCACACAAATTGACAGCTGCCCTGTGAAAACAAAACAGCGGTAAAGACAGTCTCAGTTTTCCTCCAAATACCTTTACATATCTGAAGGTCAATGAGAATACATTTTTGAAGCCAAGTAATAACAAAAACAATTATAGAGAAATCATGTGTGATAAATAATTCTTTGATAACACTCTGCTGTGTATGCTTTAAGGAAGTGAAAAAAAACAAGCTTACCAACATTTATTTCCTTAAATTATGTTTTCTGGGCTGTTTTCTTTGTGCCTTTGTAATTTATTATGCTTAGACAATATTATATATTTTTATTTCTATTATAGTTTTTCTATTTGCATTATAATTCTGCCTTTATAATGGACACAG